AGCCTTCCCACGATATTTTGGGTCATAGTCTTGCTTTCCACCTAGGGCTGGACTTGTGCTTCTGACACTGTTGCTCTAAGTTCATCGTGATATGAGAAGGGACACATCCTCTCCAATGCAGAGACCTTCCTGACATGAGGGGAGTCCAATCTCAGCTCTGCCTTTTATTAGCTCTGTCACCCTAGACAAACTACTTAACATCATTCAATCCCAGGCTCCTCATTCATCAGATGTTGAAGTCATGTGGCCTCATGTCAGGGCTGTGGTATTTAAGTGAGTTCAATGCCAGAACCGTGTAGCTACTCAGTGCAATTTTTAAACTTTTCTTCCAGAAATGGTCAATCATTCTGTTTTTCAAGTGAAGACTTCTTCCCCCAATCTCAAGATGCTTAATCACAGATTATCAATTAGGAAAGCTCAATTTGGGATAAAAATCACTAAAACTAGCTTCTTTCCTCAGGGGCACAGTCTGAATCCGCTCAGAGCAAGATGCTGAGTGGAATCGGGGGCTTCGTTCTGGGTCTGCTCTTCCTCGGGGTGGGGCTGTTCATCTACTTCAGGAACCAGAAAGGTAAGGAACCTGTTGGCAGCTGAGACTCCCTGCAGAGTGTTTAGAAGGAAAAAAAATGGTTTTGCTCAGTTAGTTCTCTTTATATCAATGGCCTGTATAAAGCCTGTATTTCCCCAATTGACCTCAATTTCCTGGAGATTCTGGGACAAATGCAGGAAGAGACACGAGGCTAATGAAATGACACTGGATTTGTGTGACAGAAACTTCAAGGGTCATGTGCTCTCAGTATTTACCTTCATGTCTACCCTGGCATCATCATGTGATGTGGATGTGGTGTTAGAGAAATCTCAGGTCGGGGCCTAGGGCTGGGGACATTGTGTTTGGGGACAATTTATTTCACTATGTTTAAATATTAACTTCACTTCTCTTTCCCAGGACACTCTGGACTTCAACCTACAGGTATGCTCTTTAATTCCCTTTTTGAGTCATAGTCAGTTTCCCTAGCACAGATTGTAGAGGTTACGAGACAGAAGACAGAAATAATGAAAAATACTTTGATCTGACCTCTGATCAAGCAGTTTACATTAAAATTTCTTCTTACCACTTTAGAGCAAAAGGCCTATGCTCTAAAGAAGCCTTGGCTCAGGAGACTTAAGAATCCCCCCCCACTTCTTATTGCAATGTTTAAACATGAGTCCCTGAGAGAGGAGGGGAAAAAGTGCTACTTGTAGAGTTATGTCTGGAAACAACACTGTCCTCTGTCTTCTGCAGGACTCCTGAGCTGAAGTGAAGATGGTGACACTTAAGGAAGAACATTCTGTCCCAGCTTCTTTGCAGCCTGTAATCAAGGTTTCCTGACTAGCTCTTATTCTTCCTCAAAGAGAGTGCTTTCTCAGGATCTGCTTTGCTCCTGGTTCAGTGACCCTGCAGAAAATGTCCTCCCTGATGGCTTCCTCAGCCCGCCCTTGACCTGGGAATCCCCAGTATTGGTTGCAATACCTTATCTTCATTCTTTCCTGGTCTTCTTTAAAGGTTTTCAACCTTTACTGCCTCTTGTGCATCTGATCTCATTCTGCCCACGTTACCTGTAAAATTTTTCTCAAATAAATACAGAGTGAAAATCATCTGCTTCGTACAGCTTCAAGGAAAGAAGTAGGAAGAAAAAGGGACCATTGCATCACAGAACTGGAACTGGAAAGTTTCCTTCCTTCCTTCTCTGTTTTTCTCTTGCGTTTTCTGCATTCTGTCATAGGCGTATTTTCCCGAGCTAGGAGAAAGGGCTAATGAACCCATATCATGATGATCTTCTACATTTTTGCATTTTCAAAGACATGTTCCTTTACACCATGGGGTACAGAAATAAGACAACAAATATCAGAAATGTGGGTACCTTGTAAGGAAGTGATTATTTCAAAATTTTTATTTTGAGAAATAAAGAGAAAATCATGCTTTTTTTTTGTTTTTTAAAAAATTTTTTTAAAAGAAATGTCTAAACCTGGGTAGTACTTGAAATATTCTTTCATTAAGCTATAATACTTCATTTTTGTCTGTCAGATAAAAGTCAGTGACATGCTGACTCTTTGACTTAGAATGCATTCCTCTGCATAAATAGGTCTCAGAAGGCCATCAGGACAAAGCTACAAGTCTAGTCCATAAGATGCATTTCGGAGCTCCTCCAGTTTCTGTCACAAGCTTACTCTCTGTCACAGGAAAATTCTGTATGTGTCTTATCTTAGCAGAAGTAAGAGATAATCCTGGGAAACAAAGGAGATTATACGAATACAGTGATGTACATCCAAACAATGAAGTACTCTGCAGCTGGGGGCAAAAATAAGAAAATATCCTGCTTGGAATAATCTCCAAATACACTTTCAGTAGGTGCAGGAAAGTGTGTACAGTACACAACATTTGTTTAATAAAGTAGAGGAAGAGAATAGGAACATACAGCTACCCCGTTCATTCAGTCTCTCTGTTGTTTACTTTTTTTGTAAATAGAAACAATAGAAGGTATTTTTTAAATTGTTTCCTTTAGAGCAAAATGAGGGAATAGGTTCAAGGGGACAGAGATTAAAGCTGGACTTTTCTGAATATATCTTATTTAATAGTTTTAACTTGAGGTGCATTTGAATATTTTATGCAATTAAAAATTTAAATCAAAAAGTTTAAAAGGTGATACACAAAAGCTAAAAACAAACTGCAATGACTGAAACAAACTTGACAAAAAGTGTATGATGAGAAACAGGCTAGAAAAGTAAATCAAACTTTTTTTCACCCTTGCATAAAACATTGAAGAAGTATAATTCTAAATCAGTATATAATTCTAAATGCCATAGACTTCAATAATACAGAGGAGTTGGATTGGTTCAGGGAGAGGTAACTAATTGGTTAAGAAGATGGTGGGTTCTGCTATTGTATTCTATCTGGAGAGTCAGCTTTAATTGTAAATCAAATCTAAAGAGTACATAATAGGTTCAGAAGTTTATTTAAAAATAATAGTAATTTGAATACAATTTCTCCAGTCAGAAACAATCATTATTTAATTTCAGGCAAACTCAAAGATTATTTTATGCATATGTTAATTGTGTATTATTTGCGGAAGCAGGTTATCATCCTGTAGGAGTTTGATAAGCTGATAGTCCTGTCTACAGTATGCATATAGTTCAGATAAATTCTGTTTGATCCCAGGATTGCAATCTTACTCTCGTGTGGTTCTCTGAGATGAAGAAATGACTTGTTTCATTTTATTTGAGACCTGTGGTATGAAATTATAAGGTAGATTTTAAGTGAATGGCATGAATATTTGAATGAATTTGAATATTTGAATATACCGCTAGTAGCAGAAAATCCAATTTAATTGGCTTTTTTTCCCCTTTAACTTATTATCTTACATAGAACCAAGTTAGGGAACCTCCAGATTGGGTTAATTT